TCAGTAAGTTGTCCTTAAACTCTATTCTGCTAGCGCGGCGATGGCCCACCTCGGCGGTTCGGCGTAGGCCTCGTTTTTTTGTTGGGCGGGCTGTTCGCCAGTGGTGCTCTGCATCTATGTTGCTGTCTGCGCTGTTTCTGGACCCGGTCTGCAGATGGCCATGCGCCGCTACTTCCAGGGGGTTCAGGGCACGCCGGCGATCCCAGGTTCTGGGTTGCCATTTGTTTCACCGAATTTGCTTCGCTGTTAACAGGCCAGCATGTCTCGGTCTGCTGTTTGACTCAGGCGCAACGGCTTGCATCCCACCTAACCACGCTTGGACATGGCTGTGACCTCTTCTCGGCGGTTCAAACTCGCCCGTAATTGGCATTAGCGCGGGCCCCGAAGCGCGCCCGAGATCGCCCCCACCCTGGCAGACAAGTTCTTTCGTCGGGCACGCAAGCGTAGACTTGCGGGGGCTGGACCGGCCGAGCCCCGCGCGGCGCGCAGCGTCCGAGCGATCTCTGTGCTGGGCAGTGTGCTTCAGCCCTGCAGATCTTACGCGCAGGACCCAGACTCAGCTCTGCAGGAAGCATGATGAGGACGCTGAAGGCGGTTGGATGCAATGTTCAGTGCATGTCGGTCTCGCATTGGCCGGGGCTGCAGCGTGCAGAACCGCTCGGGACTCGAAAGCTTGGTTGCGTTTCCAGGAGAACCCTGGGACCACTCTGAGCGACTCTGATGACCTCATCCCCGTCGGGCTGCAGAGAGGATGGCATGCTGACTCCTGCCTGTCCTACGCATGTCATAACTATTCTCAGCCTCTACCAAGGGCTCGATTGATTAACCCGACGGCCCCGTTTCTGGCGCACCAAGCGAAGCCAGCGGCTGCCTTGGAAAGCGACGCAGGCTCCGCGGATATTCAGGCCGATATCGAGCGACGAGTTCTGAGATGGATGACCCCCCTTTGCTAACGTCTGGTTTTCTGTGTTAGTTTCGAGGCTATTTTTAGTCGGTAATTCGGCATCTGTGTTTTTAGTCGTTGCCGCTCTTAGAACTCTGTGTCGGGGAATCTGGACCTCCGCCAGGTTCCACGCTCGCCCGAAGCCTTGTCTCTTCGGCTGCCTGTAAGCCGAAGACGACCAGCGTCGCTCATTCCACTGCCCGTAAGCAACCGCCTTCTTCTTTTTCTCGCGCCCCCCCCCTCTCCCCGCTCTGATTTGCCGACCCGTTCCCGACGCTCTGCCGCGTTGATGGCAGGGCCCCCGATCGAGTCAGGGATCTTGCGCCGCGCACCCGCTCGCAAGCGAGAGTCGCCACCGCATCCCTGGGGGCCTCTGGTGGGCTGGTTTTCGGGGGCCGCCTCCGGCTGCCTATGCAGCGTCGCCCTAAGATCAATCAGAGTGGCTGCGCAATCGGCCGGGGACTGATCATTTTACATGTCTTGCCTGTCCGCGCTGCGGTCGGGACTTGTATTGGCCGCGTCGTCTCTCCCCCTTTCTTGCCGTCGCCCCCCCCCGCCGTGCGTGCCGCCGCGGCTGTTGCGTCGCCTGCTGCCGCCGCTGCTTCCGCCACTCGTCTCCGCCCTCTCTCCGAACGTGCCGGCGTCCAGGTCCGCCCTGCCGCCCTGGCCTCCTTCGCCTCTCTCGCGCCTGTCTGCTCGCGCGGCCCCGCTCGTTCCGCCCCGCTCAGCGAGTCCGCCAGTCGCTGCGACGTCCTCACCTCTGCGAGGCACGCCCGATGCGACTGGCGCTCGGTTGCTCTGTCTGGCTCTTTTTGTTGTTGTCTGCCCCTGCTCCAGCGCAGGGTCGGGACAAGCGCGGGCCGCGCCCCCGCCCGCGCTGTCTCTGGCCGCCCGCCCTTCTCTCGGGTGGCAGGCGAAGCCGCGCGGTTTTCGGCTGCGATCGATCGATTGCTTCTTTGCCTCCCCGATGCGTGCGCGCTCGGTGTTGCGCCGCGGACTCCTCGAGCGCGTCTGTCAGTGTCTTCGCGCTTGGGCGCGGTGCCCACTGGCAGTTTTGGATTGGCAGTTCTGATGTTCCGTCATCCTGGCGTTGCGCAGGGGACAAATCATCATCATCATCATCATCATCATCATCATCATCATCATCATCATCATCATCATCATCATCATCATCATCATCGTCATCGTCATCGTCATCGTCATCATCATCAACATCATCAACATCATCATCAACATCAACATAATCACCATGCTTGTCATTAGCATCATCATCGCCACCGACATCATCAGTATGACTGACATGACCATCACGATTGCGTTCATCGTCACCATTGGCAACATCACCACCATTATCATCCTCATCATTACCACCATCGTCACCATCACCGTCACCAGTATCCGCAATCTCGGCATTATCATCGTCACCAGCGTCATCATCATCAACAACATCAACATCATCGCCATTGTCACTGTCATCGTCATCGTCATCGCCACCATCAGTTCTGTCATCGTCACCACCGCCGCCATCATCATCTCCTTCTATGACCAGCATTTCCAATCATTATGATCGCCGTCGTTTTCGTCTTTTACGTCGCCGTCGCCGCGGTCATCGCTGCCGCTGCCGTCTGCATAATCCCCGCCGTCGTCGTCGCCATCGTCGTCGCGTTCCGCGCAGGCAGCGCGGACCCGCTGATTCCGCTGCGGAGTCCACGCTCTCCTCGCTCCCCGCTGCGGTCGCCGCGCGGCGCTGGTCAGGCGCGCGGGTGGGGTGGATGTCCGCGGCCGGCAAGGACAGGCACAGAGAGGGTCCTTGCGGTTGCTATTGCTCCTCCTCCTCCTCTTCCCCGTATTCCCCGTCTTCCCCCTGTTCCGCATCCGCGTTGGATTCAGGAACGGCCTTAACCACCCAGCCCACCAACCATTTTGCGTACGTGGGATAAGGCATTGTCATGTACCGCGTCTTCGCCTCACGCGCGGTGCCTGGGTTTTTCCGGGGCAGACGTATTCACGCTGGACTTCCTCGTCGTTCAGCGTGCGCCTACCATATTGGCGATTCAGGAGGACGGACATCAAGCCATCAAGCTACATGTAATTCAGTTTTTGCGTTTTCAGTTTCCCAGCGTATCTTCACCGCAATCAATTTGAGTCCCACCCTACGGCGGTACTTCGTCATAGGAGTGTTCGTTTGAGACTACATATCATGTTTGATGGTTTGTTTGTGAAGTTTCTGTTTCGTGCTCAAAAACTACGCAGGTCACTGAGCCGCTGGTTTTCAGCGGCACCAAGAGATGTGATGCGGTAATATCAGGTCGGCCTGTACCCTCTGCGATCAAGCTGTATGCGCAGTGAAGGTGGTCAAGAATGGTAGGTTGCGTGATGCCATTGAGCACTGTTTTTCGAGAGTGCGTGTTGGTGGATGTGTTGCTGTACTTTTTCCGTTGTTCACGTTTTGGTGTTACCCTGCTGGTGAGGAAGCGGGAATATCGGTGAGCGCTTCATGGATGTTATTGTCGTTGTGGTTTAGGGGCCTGAAGTCGCTGTGAACGCTCCACGGTTCCAATCCGTGAGCACTGGAATGCAAGCGGTTGTCGGTTGTCATATTTGCATGGTGGGACATTTTCTGGGACCCTTGACAGAGCCACTACCTATGTGTCCCCCTTTGTTCCGAGTTCTCACGATGATGCAGATGATGCAGATCATGCTGATGCTGATGCTGCTAATGCCTCTGATGCTGCTGGTGCTGTTGCTGATAACCGTGATGACGAGAAGGATGAGGGGGAGGCCCCCCCATTAGATGCGACTTAGCCTACTACAATCGTGATCCTCTTCACTTGCCATCCCCTCTTCCTCCTCGCCTCCTCCCCCTCTTTCCCCCCTCCTCATCCGCAATAACTCCATACGAGTTCACTACTCTCGTGTCTCCCCGGGCACTGCCTGGACGTTATTCCGCCTTCTGCGCGCGTTAGTTCGTTCACCAGGCTTCAACACTTAGTTGTCCCATATCCTGTCTTTCTCGGTGCTTTAATATGGCGTTCCCGCTGCAGCGTTTGCCTCATCTCAGGATCGCCGCTTTGCTCCCGCCGTTCAGCCTGGCGTTCTCGCCCCAGGGCGGGCCGGATTTCTGGATCGGAGTCCTTCCTCGTCTTTGTCGCCCCCCCTCTCCCCTCCTCGACCTCCCCCCTGGTCCTCCTCCGGCTCCTCCTCCTCCTCCTCCCCTTGCCCCTGCTCCTGATGTTGCGGCTGCTCCTCCTCATTCTCCTCCTTCTTCATCCGCCTGCTCATCGCCACGCTGATCCTCCTGCTCATCCGCCACCTCCTCCACCTCCCCTGTGCACAGCCCCCCGATCTGCTTGCGCATGACAGGATGCGGTCCGCTTGGGGGCGCAAGGTCTGCCATGACATCCGTCGGCGGACAGAGAACAGATCAGCGCGATGGGAAAGGCTGGCCGAGAGGGGTAGGAGGTCCGAAATGGCGCCAGCTCACCTGGCTTGTTCTCAACCTCTCCTACCCCCTGCTGCCCTATTCCTCAGCCTCTCCCCCTCTTGCCCCATTCCTCGTCCCACCCTTTCCCTGTCTCTTTCTCTTGGTGCCGACGACGGACCGCAGCCCGAACCTGGGAGAGCCGGAGGAGAACGAGGGAGGCGGTGGGGGGCACGGGGCGGACGAGCAGTCGCAGAAGCAGGAGGGGGCACGGGGGGAGAGCAGAGGAGGGGGAGGAGGAGAACAATGGGGAGGAGGGGGGGAGGAGGGGCGGAACGAGGAGCAGGAAGTGGAGGAGGGGCGGAACGAGGAGCAGAAAGTGGAGGAGGAGGAGGAGGAGGAGGGAGGAGGAGGAGGAGGAGGAGGAGGAGGAGGAGGAGGAGGAGGAGGAGGAGGAGGAGAGGGGGAGATCAGAGGAAGGGGAGGAGGAGAAAGATGGAGAGGAGGAGGAGGAGGAGCAGGGGGGGAGGAGGAGGAGGAGCAGGAGGAGAAGGCGCAGGAGGAGGCTGTGTGCGGAAGTCGTCGTCGCCCCCCTGGGCGAGCGCCGCGCCCCCCTGGGCGAGCGCCGCGTCACAGGGCACGGGCGTCCAGCCTGGCGAGGGCCCTGGGGCACCGCTGGGCGAGCTGATTAGCAGGCGGGCCGCATCGCCGCATCGCCGCGGCCACCGCCCCTGCCGTGGGCGCCGTCGCCCGCGCCGTCGCCGTCGACTCGCCCTGCCGTCGGTGCGTCGCCGGCGTCGTCGTCGTGCCTGCCGCCGTGGCTGTGGCCGCAGTTGCCGCCGCCGTCACCCTCTTACTGCGACTGCCGCTTCTTGTGCCTCCATCTTCCATCCCCTCTCTCTCCTCCCTCTCCCCGCCCGTCTCGACCTCCCTCCCCCTCGCTCCCTCCCTCTCCCATTGGGCCCTTCGGTGGAGTTCCATACGGGGCCACGAAGCGCTGTACTGGGTGGTGCGTGACGCATGCGGGCGGTGGCACTGGGGCTTTCGGTGGAGCTCCCTATGGGGCCACGAAGCGCTGTACAGGGGGGTGCGTGACGCATGCGGGCGGTCCCATTGGGCCCTTCGGTGGAGCTCCATATGGAACCACGAAGCGCTGTACTGGGTGGTGCGTGACGCACGCGGGCGGTCCCATTGGGGCCTTCGGTGGAGCTCCCTATGGGGCCACAAAACGCTGTACTGGGTGGTGCGTGACGCATGCGGGCGGTCCCATTGGGCCCTTCGGTGGAGCTCCATATGGAGCCACGAAACGCTGTACTGGGTGGTGCGTGACGCATGCGGGCGGTCCCATTGGGCCCTTCGGTGGAGCTCCCTATGGGGCCACGAAGCGTGTGAGGAGTGTGCTGAAACGGGTGATGATGATTGTGATGGAGGAGGGAGGAGGGGGAGGGAGGATGAGAGGAGTGACGCGAGGCGCTGTCTCTTCAAAACGAGGACCCAACACCACAGGATGGTTGGGAAATTAGCCTGGTGAAGGACCCAACCATATGCAGTTGTGAATAGAGTCGCTGTTGTGAAGAGTGCACTCCCCTGCCCCTCTGCCGCCCGTGCCACCATGTGTGTATGTTGTACACGCTTGTCTTGTTTTGTGGCATGCACGCTGCCCGCCGCTGTTTTGGCCCTAGTCCTAGGGCCCTGGGACGCACCCGCAGTTGGACTGCCGCGCGGTCTTTGCTGAAAACAACTGCACTGACATTGGTGGCGGAGCTGGTAAGCTCCAGCGGACGCACTGCGTGCTCTGCTTCGGTGGTTGTGACCACCCGCGTGGGCCGCCATGGCCACCAGCCACGACGGCTCAGACGTGGAGGCTGCGTCCTCCGCAGGCACAGGTCCCCCGGACCTGCATGCAGTCCTGCGCGTGATGGCCGAGACCCAGCGGGAACTCTTGGCCTTGCATCGGGATCGTGGCGACGGCGGTCCCAGACGTACACGTCTACTGCTGTCGCAGGTGAGGCTCCCAGAGTTCGATGGTGGAGTCGGTACGAGTACTAAGAAGTACCGAGAGTGGCGCAAGGAGGTTGAAGTCATCCGCAACCTCAATCAGCTCTCAGACGTGGAGCTGGGCCTGATCATCTACAGTCAAGTGACAGGTCGAGCCAAAGAGCTCATCGAGGTGCTTGACGCGTCGGACCTCCGACGCGAGGAGACGCTCGAGACCATCTTTGCTATCTACGACGACGCCTTCGAGAAGATGGATCACGAGCGCCTCGATCAGGTGCATCAGGATTGGGAGCGAGCACACCGTCGAGCTGGGCAGCCGATCATGGATTGGACCACGTACCTGCGCAAGAAGCGCATGGAGTTGCAGCTCGAGGATCCCACATCAGCGATCAGCGATCGCGCATTGGCAAGCAAGATGCTTCGTGGCGCTGGACTGTCGCAGAAGGAGCGAGCGCAGGTGCTCTTCAACTGTGGCGGCATCTACGACTCGAAGCGGATGGAGGTTGTGCTGAAGGCAGCCTATTCGAAGGTGCACGACACCGAGAAGCGCTCAGTGCTCCCTCGCCGCTCGCCGTTTGCGGCGCAGCGTGAGCACGGGCGCTCCTCTGGGAGTTCGGGCGGTCGCTATCCGCACCCTCCCATGGCTCGTAGGCCATACGTGCTGCGAGGACGCCCTGGCCAGCACGTACACGAGGTAGAGAACGGCGAAGACTACGATGAACACCACGGCGACCTCGAGGAGGCGCATCATGACGAAGATGAAGCAGACGACCAGGACGATGGAGACCATGGAGGGGCCGAGGGCACCCTCTTCGAGGACGGCGCTGAGGTCGACGAGGAGCTGGTGTCGGACAACGACGGGCCTGACGACGAGGAGTACGAGGCACCGGAGGATCTTCAGGAAGCGTTCTTGGCCGGCTGGAGGGCCAAGCAGAAGACGGCGGTACAGCGTCAGAAGCGCGGGTTCGTTGCTCCTCGGCAGCGGGACCCCAAGAAGATCAACGCTAGCGGCTCCTTCCAGGCTGGTCGGAAGCCGACAGACCAGCGCAAGGCTAACAGCCGGTGTGCTGACTGCGATCAGCCTGGCCACTGGCGTGGCGACCCGGAGTGCCCCAAGGTGAAGAGTGGCGAGCGCGAGCCGTACAACAAGATCGGGCCTAAGAATGGCCAGCCAGCGTCGCCCAACCAGCGGACCTCTGTGAAGCCGCCGGCGCCTAGGCAGGTGCATGGACCGATCGTCCACTGGGTTGGCATGGCAGGCAGTGCCGAGGAGCGTCGTGGCCGCGCTCCATGGCGCCGTGCCCCCCAGTCGGTGCCTGCCCAGAGGCATCCAGTGGAGGGTCGAGCGGACGCGCCAGAGCGGATCATTATGCACCCCAGGCCCAAAAGCATGCCTGCGCCGAGCCTACGCCAGGACGCCGACGACGGCCCAGGGGCCGCACAGAGCAGCGATGAACGCGCGCGCGCCCGTGCCAGGCGCGGGGAGGATCAGGAGGACGAGGATGCTGTCGTGCGTTGCCATCGCATTCTGGCCAACACCCACGCAAAGGGGCACAGCGTGGAGTTGGAGTTTCCTGACCTTGCCACGGTCCATCACATCGTGGAGCGCGTGACGAACAAGAAGCCTATCTTCTTCAAGCAAGGCCGCTTCGAGAGCCTCGACTTCGTCCAGGGTCGGCTCGTGCGCCTGCAGCTGACCACATCGAGGCCTTGTACGGCGGCTGAGGTGGATCTCGACGAGATCACGGCAACTATATTCAAGATCGTGATGGGCGGCAATCGTGATACCAAGCCCCGTGACGATCGGCGCGGTGAAGGCGGGAGTCGTGACACCAAGCAGCGTGAAGATCATCATCGAGATCGTCGGGACGACCGCCAGCGTGATCGGGGAGCTGTTCTTCGCGAGCCTCGTGCCCCTCCTCCGCCCGAGGCGGAGGCTTCCTCGCGTTCAAGGTCGCGGAGTGCACCAGGAGGCCGCGGTGTGAAGAAAGAGAAGCGGAGTCCACTAGAAGACCGCGGTGAGAAGGAAGAAAAGGAAGAAAAGAAAGAGAAGAAGAAGAAGGCGAGGAGCAGCAAAGAAGAGAAGAAAGAGAGAAAGAAGGCAAGAAGCAGCAAGGAGGTGAAGAACGAGGACGAGGCCAGCGAGGATCCTGAGGCCACCGAGGACGACAACGACCAGCGGCGCGAGGATAAGGAGGTGCCGTTCACGCCAGAGGAGATGGACGAGATCTTCTGCAGCTGGTATCCGCGTCAGGATATCTTCAGGGATTACCTGACGCCGCCGGCAACCATCCACTTCATCACTAAGAACGATCGCATCGTGCGCCTCAATCTCTACACGCGCCGCTGCGAGAAGCCAGATTTCTCCTTATCCAGCGGCCCTGCGAGGGCCCATCCCGTATACGTGGTGGAGGCGTCGGCAAAGGGAGCATCGAAGACCAAAGAATCCCCAGACGGAGCTGTGCCTGGACTAACGTCTGCCGCTCCGACTGGGGAGGCCGCCGCTGTCCCTAAGGAAGAGGACTGGGTCATGGCAGGAGCCTCCGAGGAAGTGAGAAAGAGCGAGGAAAAGAAGCGACTAGAGGTTTTGCAGCGTGATAAAGCTGAGTTGCTGGATCGCCTCGCGCTGATAGAGAAACAGGAGATGGAGATGCACGCCCGATTGAACCCATGCGAGGTCTACGACGGCCTACAGAAGCGACGTGAGCAGGCACCTCTGCCAGAGCGTGCCCTGCCCACATCTCCTGAGCAGCAGGGAGTCGGAAGCGTGTGGAAGAACATGGAGGCAATACGACGGCGTGTCCACCTTCCAGCGCCTCCAGGAGCCGCGAGCTCAGGTGCCCCTGCCGCTGCGACGGCATCTTCAGCTGCATCTGGAGTCCCGCGTGTAGTCACCGCCTCTGGACGGAGCTACGTCATGAGTGTCGGTGCCACGCAGAGTGACCTGGAGAAGCAGCAGATGCATCGAGCCATGTACGACTCGCAGTTCGACGGCGAGAGGCTGGTTCCAGGCCCGAAGGCGAAGTTCGACCCAGAGCTCATGCAGCAGCAGGCTGAATGTGTTCATCCTGTGGGCGAGTTGAAGTGGCAGTCAAACGGCACCGTGATCTTCGCGAAGTGCAAGAAGTGTTCGCTGAAGTCGGTGATTCATTACACGCTGGAGAAGCCCAAGAAGGATGAAGGGGAACCTTCCAAGAACACCCCAGACGGAGCTGTGCCAGGACTAACGTCTGCCGCCCCGACTGGGGAGGATGTTGCCGTCAAAGGGGGCGCGGACCCCTGGGCAGCAAAGGGCGCAGACCCTTGGGCAGCAAAAGGGGGATCTGCGGCCCACATGGTCACCACCCGAGAGGAGTGCCCCCGCAAGGTGGTAGATGAGCAGTCCGTCATGCTTGTTGTCTTGCCCGCGGGGCTGGCTATGATTGACACGGGCTGCAAGCGGGCTGTCGGTGGACGTCCGTGGCATGTCGAGCTGCAGAAGACTTTGGATGCCATGGGCGTGCCGTACCACAGCATCAATCAGCGCGAGTACTTCAAGTTCGGCCCAGGCGTGCCGCTCTTGTCAGAGCGTGCGTGGTGCTACACAGTCGGCATCAACGGCACGCAGGGCGAGGTTGTGATCTCCGAGGTCGATGCCGAGGTGCCAGGTCTCATCGGCCCTGATGAGATGGCAGAGTGGGACGCAGCAATCAG